AACTACTATGGCAGACGACTTCGGACTAGGTGCGTTCTACTAAGTCGCCCTGAAAACAAGACCAAGTTGCTACAACGATGTCAACCCACTTCTATAAATCGAAAGGACACTGTGACCATACCAGAGGCCACAATATATCTTTAATTTGATCAATTAAGTTTGACGTTAATGTTCATTTTTGTCCAGAATGAAATGCAATTTTGTGTATATATGAATACAAAGTTGAGGCCAAAAAAAGCCTTTTTTGAGTAATTATTTTATTGAATATTAACCTGATTTTTAATTTATCATAAGCATGACTATATGTAACTGAATTACCAATCGAATTATAGAGAACCTTTATTTTGACAATCAGATTTATTGATATTTCTGACAATAAGTGCACTAAAACTGCAGTATAGAAGAAACATTTTCTTTTCTTTCACTAAAAACTTTTAATAGAGCTGCAAATTATAAGATTTAGTCCAGTTACAAATGTACTTGAGCCTGGCAGCAAAGGGTGGTGGTATCTTTTTAGTTTCATAAATAAGTTTGTGAGACAACCAGTAGTTTGTTTATAAGAGCTGTATTTACCCTATTTAATTTAAGGTGATTACGGACTGGCAATTTGATCATCCCACACTTATATAAATAGACCACATATTACCATTTTATTACACACAGCCCTACTTCCATCAAGGTACTCTCATACATGCTGGACTGCAGTTTCATCGTAGTTGTTAACTTTTTGAGATCATACGCAGCACTCTCACGATTGGAGTCCGGCTGGTGGTGCTAATGAGGCCTAGGCGACGTCGAAATTGCCGTTAGCTCTGGATCATTATACCTTTAGAGAAGCAAGGTTGTGTGAAATCCAATGGAAGCATAAGGCCAACTCATATCCTTGTGGGAAAATTCAACTACCACACCTTCATCACCTTAAGCTAAATAGTGTGAATACATATTCCCAGAAAATGAGGGAATGGGGTTAGGCGGGTGAAAAAGACGACTCAGACATTTGGTTTCCGAAGCCAAGAGGATGATAAAGAAGCATCATTCCAGATAAAAACTGTTTATCAATGCCGTCCTCAGTGAAGGCGTCGCATATGTTCTATCATATGTTCGAAGCCAAATATGTGAATAAATCACTGAGTAGGATGGATGCGGGGGGCGGGCTTGAGGGATTTGTTGATCAGGGAATTGTTAATAGAAGTTGGGCGAAGTGTATGGCTAAGAATAAATTTTAGTCAAATTAAGAGGCCATGCAGATGTAACACGAGACAGATTAGGCTTCCCTCAACCTATTTGGGAGATATTGGAACAAACGAATATACAGAACAGTATAGATAGGAAAATTGGCCATATGAAATAAGATTAAGTAATAGGAAAACCTCGTTGGAAGCTAGGAAAGTGCGCAAAAGAGATGTCATGATCGTTGGAAGGAAGATTCATCCAGTGTATTTCTTACATTTATGCGTTTTACTAAGCACTAAGGATGGCGTTACGATACCGACTATAGTGCATGTGAAACGTCTGGGAATGTACAAGATCAACGGTCGGATGAAGTAAATTATTATGACTACTATTGCAGAAGACATAGGGCTGGATACATCTACAAGCTCACCCCTCCCTTGCCAAAACGACATAAAGCCCAAACTAAACTGTGACCAAACCTAAAAACAGCCTTAATGACTTTCATATATACGGGACTAGATAATAATTATCACTATCCGATCAAGTTTTATCCTTGTAGACCACTGCCAGTCAGCATCTGGAAAGTTCTTTAAACCCCCCTGC